AGCGTAGATCTGACATTTAATTGGTTAATCAAGACATACCCACAAGTCTATTTTTTAATTCTGACCTTATGTCCCCACCCCACACCTTTAACTTTCGGAAAAGAGGTAGTACCTTGCTTTTGAATTTCCTTAAAAATCATTTAATCACCAGTTACTTACCATCGCCTGAAGAAGTACAATCATAGTATTGAAACATGAAAGCTTTTATGTATCGATTTCAAAATGTTTTATTATCTCTTATAATATATATATATATATATATATATATATATATATATATATATATATATATATATAGGACTGTCCTGTCATTTCTCGAAGTATGAGGGTCTAAGAACTCCTAGAAACCGATAGTCCGACATTTGCACATATGTTTTGATTTTAGTCGTGAAGGCTTTGTGCAGAACTAACCCAACTTTTTGGAAGAGCCGAATACAGAGATTTGGTGCACCGTATGTCACAAGATCCCCAAACGACCCTGTGCATGTTTTGAATTGTTCTTTTCCTAGACTGGTTGCCACCCAGTTGTCCTGCTATTTACTTGGGGGGGGGCAGAAGAAGAGGATTCATACCTTTTACAAGGGTATTAGCACGTAAGTGAATGTAATGGATTCGACTGGGATTCGAACTCCTCTCTCTCTCTCTCTCTCTCTCTCTCTCTCTCTCTCTCTCTATATATATATATATATATATATATATATATATATATATATACCAACTTATTAAAAGGAAAGACAACTCTGACTGAAGCAAACACCAGTCATTCTTGTCACTGGATTATCTTAGTTGATGTTCAGAGAGTTATATTCATGTTGTACAAGTGTCCATCACTATAATCTCTCTGAGTTACAGGCACTTTTCTTACACGTAAGAAAGTGGTCATGCACGTAATCGAATGGACAGCCATCATTTTATATATATATATATATATATATATATATATATATATATATATATATATAACGATATAAAATTTTGCATAATTTTATATATCAACAAACACATAATTAGAAAAAATATATATATATATAATGTATATTTGGACAGTAACTTTTCTTTGAAACATTTTTTCGTTGAATATGACAGACGGAAGATTTTTTTTTTATTGAGTTTTTCTATCAATCATAAATGTTTCCGTTTGATAGAGGTAAGGAAGTGTAAAAATTGTCCGTCGTGTCTATTGTCCCAGGCGATTTCGGCCACTTCGTTAGCCATTTTCAAGGGGTTTGTTGTTAATTTCTTCCCATGGTTATCTTTTCAGATGTAGCTGTCTGATGCCGATTGAATAGTAGTAGCATCTATTCCGAGCCCCGCGAAATGAACGTGGCTAGAATTCGAGTTGTCGACATTCTATTTTACACTCCCTTACTCGGACCAAACGAAAACAATTAAGAATACTAGAAAAACTCAATAATTTTTTTTTCCCACATCGTTCTTGTCTGTCATATTCAACGAAATGTGTGTGTGTGTGTGTGTGTGTGTGTGTGTGCCCACGTTAAAAAGGCCTTGTGCCACATGACACCCTCGTTGGGGGGTGTGACTCAATATCGTGTGTGTGTGTGTGCGATTGAAACAAAAATATAGCGTGGGTGGATGATATATGTCCCTTCTTTCTTTCTGAGCACAAAGAATTAAAAGCTTCAAGGAGTCGAGCCCTTCCCAGACAGCACTACACCCATCTTATAAGAAGAGGGACAACTAAGGTTAATCCAATGATAGAATTCAGGGGTTTCGCTCGAACTGTTTATTAAAATTGTATAAGTTCACACAAAACAGTTTCTAAAATCACCTTGCTTTTATATCCACCGAAAAAAAATTATGAACGTAAAAACAGAGGGAGGGAGGGAGGGAGGGAGGGAGGGAGAGAGGGAGAAAGAGAAGCCGCTACTAATTTTATAAACAAAAAGTTTATAAGGTAAATGAATAGTTCCTAAAAGAAAAGGTAAATCCCGCCATTGCGTTAACCCCTAACGTTTCAGACGTCCCAACAGGGAAATGCCGAAGGAACTAAATAGGTCTTGTGTCTATGTATGCATAGGAATCCTAATTTAACCCCAGCCCTGTGCCACATTCCGTTCGAGTGGGCGGCAAGATAAATACCTACACGCTTACTTTAAAAAACCTTCTTTTTTTTTGTTGTTGTTGTTGTTTTTAGGACGACATGTTGCTTCAATACCCACGTCTCCATCCCACAAAAAAAAAGTTCTTCACTAGAAACAAGTGAGCCTTTTCTCAATAAATGGCTTGTTGATTATGTGTTTTTGACAATTAACTTTGCGATTGGCCCCTTACGTCACCACGAAGGACTCGCTTTGAGCCAATCTCTCTGCCTGCCGCCCCCGCTCAAGACGAAAATCGACTCGTCCGCTTCCATGACGTCAGGTTTGACGCTAATGTTCCACGTGTAAAACGTGTGTGCCATTGATTAATGGTGGTTTTTCTAGATTGGCAATGCACAAGACCTACCGTCAACACAGCAGCAGCAGCAGCAAGCTCTACTGCAGATGCATCCTACGACACACGACTATGACTGCTACAAGTGTTGCTGCTACTAACACAACTACTGCTGATGCCGCTTCTAAGAAGATTGTTTAGCAACAGCCTCTTCATCGTCTTAGCATCATTATCATAATCCTCGCTACCTTTCTCTTAGATTATCCTTGTTGTCGGATAAGTGGCTTGAAGTACACTGCCCTATTACAACAATAGCGATAATCAAACAAATGTAACTAATGATAAGTGGGCGAGTACTGCGTTTATTCTCTCTCTTTCTATATATCTATCTTCAGATCTATCTTCAGATCTATCTATCTATCTATCTATCTATCTCAGTGTTTATTTCAATCTATCTCAATCTGTTCATATCTATCTATCTATCTATCTATCTATCTATCTATCTATCTATCTATCTACCTACCTACCTATCTATCTATCTATCTTTGTTCATTTCTATCTATCTATCTATCTATCTATCTATCTATCTATCTATCTATCTATGTATCTATCTATCTATCTATAGAGCTATCTAGCTAGTCGTATCACACTCTACTCCCCCTATCTGTTTATTCATCTCAATCTTTCTCACACAAAAATACAGAAATGTTTTCTTGTTCCCGCTCTAAACACACACATACACACAGAGAGACATATATACATACATTTATAAACATACATTTATATGTGCATATTTTTATTTATATATATAGATAGATATATAGATAGATAGATAGATAGATAGATAGATAGATAGATAAACACAAACGTACATATATATATATATATATATATATATATATATATGTATGTATGTATATATTTCTTATATAGATCAGATATATGTTATTATATACTTAACCTATATCCTGCTCCTATCTCTTTCTATCTCTTTTCTCCCCCCCCCCTACTCTGTCTCTATCAGAGTTATGGTTAACAAGGCTACTCTGGTTGAACATTATTTCTGAGTAGTTATTTCGATTCTCACTGGCTATCCTAAACAAAATTCAGCTTTACCCATTAATGTCTACCGACATTAATTACAAAAATTAAAAAAAATACTCCGGTATTAATTATAAATGCCTTTATTTCATTAAAAAAAAAAAAAAAGTCCGGTATTAATTAAAGGCTTATAAAAATAAAGCCGGAATTAATTAAAGGCTTATAAAAATAAAGTCCAGAATTAATTAAAGGCTTATAAAAATAAAGTCCAGAATTATTTATAGGCTTATAAAATCCGGTATTAGTTATAGGTTTATATAAAAAATAGTATCAATTATATTTTTTCTATAAGCAATTCCTGCCTACCATGTTATATATATAGTTTTAAGTATAATCGCAAAACTATTAAACCTGATTTTTCTGGGTTTTTTTTATTACACTTCTACATCTTAATGATAATTTAATTTCTTGAAACTTCGCTATCTTAATTTCACATGCTCATTCTATTAAACAGTTTGAGTTTTAATAAAATTAGTATGTAGCGTTGGGAAATTATAATCCCGAGTAAATAATTATAACTCCGCTAACGTTTATATATACAAAAATACTCGTAAAAATGGGTAAAAGCTAAACGTGGAAACAACAAAATGAGTATTATTTATTATCCGGTTCTTATGTGGTTTTGTAAACACAAGAGACTTTAATACTGAGTAAAATTGCAAGTTTGGGGTCAAATGTAGATTAAATATGTATCAGAATCCGATAGAAGGATAAAATAAAGAATAAGCAATGTGTATACAGATAGATAGACAGAGAGAGAGAGAGAGACAGACAGACAGACAGAAAAAGAGAGACAGAGAGAGAGTGAGAATAAACGCAGTACTCGCTCATTTATTATTAGTTAGATTTGTTTGCTTATCGCTATTGTTGTAATAGGGCAGGGTACTGCGGGGTATTTTTTTATTTTTTTTCATGTGTGTAATAAGTGTCCTGATAATTTAGTTAGAAAATGCAAGAACTGTTTGGTGGTCTGCTTACCCCAAATGCTTTTGAGTGCTAAAAGATAAATGTTACTACTATGGCTTGGAAAGGGAGATGAAATTTTCCTTGACGTACGTGTTGACGACCTGTCTGCGTGAACTGTTTGTCCGATAGTGAGAATGTCACGTATTTGTATGTGCAGAGGAGAAAAGTGAGGTCGATTCTTAGTGGTTTAGAATGAGTGAATTAATGATATATAGATTAAACCTATGTGTTTTGAGTTCGTTTCGTTAACCGTGCTTCTGAATAGATTGATTGATTGAGTCGTTTTCTACGGCTTAGCAACCATTTGTAGGTTATTTAAAGCCAGAAAATATTTTTATATTGTAAGAATTTATTTTAGATAATAATAGTTTGGTGATACGTCTTACAATTTAACCTAGAGCCTGTGGGGGAAGAGGATGATTCGTACCTTTTCCAGAGGGTATTTGCATGTAAGTGAATATAACGAATCCAAAGGGGATTGCAAATCGGATTGTTAACAATCTTGACCCATTATCCATTACGCCACCGGCACATCCAAGCTTACATCACCTGGTATTCCCAAGCGGTCACCCATCTTGGTATTGGCCAGGCTCGACGTTGCCTAACTTCGGTGATCGTACGGGAACCCGTGTTCGATCGTGACCGTAAGTCCTTTATACCACCCGCACGTCCAAGCTTACAGCGTCTTGTATTCTCAAGCGGTTACCCATTTTAGTGTTGACTAGGCACGACGTTGTTTAACTTCGGTGATCGTACGGGAACCGATGTTCCAACGTGAAATGGCCGTAATCACTCTATATCCCCCCCACATCTACGCTTATAGCAACTGGTATTCCCAAGCGATCACCCATCTTGGTACTGACCAGATTCAAGGTTGCTTAACTTCAATGATCGGCCAACGTGAAGTTGCCGTAAGCCTGCTTCAGAAGATCGCGCTCTATACAAGGTAGACAAACAATCTCTCTTTGGCAGATGTAGTTGAGCTAAGCTTGTTCTAATCTGACACAAGGCCTCAAATTGGAGGAAGAATTTAACTGACTAATTTTGGGCGTTGTTTTTTTTGGGGGTGGGGGTACTATACTTTTAACCATCTTTCTACAGTAGACATAGTAGCCTTCACGGATTCTCGACACTCTCAGGTAATGCGTTGTCGTAAAAGGATGTATTTATTAAACTGGTCCTGATCTGACACATTGTACGGAGAATTGAACTCAAGTAGTTTTGTCTTTCTTAACTTGACCGTTAAGATATTTAACAGAACGTCCACTCGTTTCGAATGCAACACCAGGCTTTTTCAACGTGGATTAGGCACTCACACGTACATGCGACAAGAGTTCAAAAATAATCCTTTTTTCTTTTTTCGAAAGTTCATTCGTTAATCTTTATTCTACACTAGTCGTAGTAGTCGACAGTAATTTTTCTTTCAATAATCTTCATCCTGTAAAAGGCTCAAAAGCCACTTGAGGAAGCGGGTTACAGAGTAAGGACGACAGTTTATGAGGATATGTGGGGAAGATAACGGTTAACCCTAGACTTGAATAGATTAAGATTGGGGGTAGCATCCTCTTGAGAGTCGGTTCCACAGAGAAGCGGTTCGTGGGAAGAATCTGTTCGAGCGGAACTTACATCTCACTAATGGAATACAAAGAGAATGAAGGTGAAATGCTACAAAATGCACAGCATGGTGAGTTTTCGCTGTGAAAGCTAGAATAGGTGGAACTAAAGAATGTAGTAATGTAATCCAGTTCATAGTATGTCGTACTACATAGATTAATGAAAAATAAAAAAAATATATTTTGGCATATCATATCAAACATATTTTTCAATCTCATCTCCTTCTTGTCTCGTCCTGGGTAAGACGATAAACTACGTCCAGTAGCAAGGCCTCTGATCAGGAGGTTTTGAGGAGTGTGGAACCACCTCTTAATTGCTGATGTTCCCAGGTCCACCCTGACCCGGGGTGGTAACACCTGTTAGGGTTCCAGATATGGGTAAATCGTTAACCTCCAAACTGGGATTAAAAAAAAAACTATGAATGTGTAAAAATAGGTTTTAATGCCAGAAATACTTTGTAAAAAATTATTACCAGCAATAAATTTTTAAAGAAAAAATTATTACCAGCAATACATTAAAAAAAAAACATTACCGGCAATACATTTTTGAAAAAAAAATGACCAGCAATACATTTAAAAAAAAAATACCAGCTATACATTTTTGAAGAAAAAATATTACCAGAAATAGATTTTTTGAAGGAAAGAAATATTACCAGCAATATATTTTTGAAAAAAAAATATTACCAGCAATAAAAAATTTGTCGGCATTAAATAACCCATTGAGAAACCTTCTTGTCTAAATTCACTAGTAAGAATTAAATTCAGTCTGCTGCTAGGATAGTTGGTCCACTGTGTCGTGCCAGATAAATTTTTCTCTTTAAAATCCATCTTGCATATTTACAAATCTACCATTCGTCTGTGCATTGCTGCCATCTCTGGTCCAGCGCTCCTTCTATATATCTTGAGATTCTTGACAAAATTCCAAAGAAGGGTCTGTAATATAATCGATCCTGACCTGGCATCTCGACTTCAGTCACTTTCTCACCAATGTGACATGGCTTCCCTCTGTCTTTTCTACAAATATTTTCATGGCAATTTGTTCTGATGAGCTTTTCTCCATGGTGCCTCGGCTGCATGAATTTAAGCGCGATACAAGATTGGTTACCAGGTATCACCAATTCTATTGATGAAGATGCAAATGTCTGCTTTGTTCTAATAGTTTATTTTCTTCCGATTTCTTGCTACCTTGACAACTACAATTTTCAAAAATTTAACTGCAATCGCCATTTTCTGTCTTCCTGGAGACTGTTCTTTTATTGTCCTTTCTGCTCACTTCTCACTAAAATCTTCTCATTCTCTTTAACTCGCAGTAATCCCCTTGCGTCCTAGGGGCATTATCGCCTTGCTTTGGGTGAAATGATTAAATAATAATAATAATATATTATTATTATTATCATTATTATTATTTAATCGTTTAATAACAATAATAATAATAATAATAATAATAATAATAATAATAAGAAGAAGAAGAAGAAGAAGAAGAAGAAATACAAAAAATTGTTCTCATGAGTACAGCCCACACCTTACGAAGGGCTTTATCTATGTAATATATATATATATATATATATATATATATATATATATATGTATGTGTGTGTGTGTGTGTGTGTGTGTGTGTGTGTGTGTGTGTGTGTGTTTTAATTGGTCAGTGGAAAATGTCATGATGCCATTTCTGATCTTAGGTCTCTGGGCGGGACCCTGAAAGAAATGTGTACACACTAGAAATCAAAGGAAATAATAATAATAATAATAATAATAATAATAATAATAATAATAATAATAATAATAACAACAAAACGGTGCCTCCTTATTGATATGGCAGTCCCTGCTGACTGCAATGTATCTTTGAAGATATTCAAAAAGTTGTCAAAGTACAAGGACCTTGAAATAGAAATCTCGAAAATGTGGCATATGGGAACATCAACAATCCCTGTTGTAGTTGGAGCCCTAGGACTGGTTGGAAAAGATTCCAGTAGACTAATTGAAGGGATTCCTGGAAGTCCATGCCTCAAGGTGATACAGAAAATTGTTCTGACAAGTACAGCCCACACCTTACGAAGGGCTTTATCTATGTAATTTTTTTTTTTTTTTTTTTTGTCAGTGGAAAGTGTCATGACGCCATTTCTAACCTTAGGTCCCTGGGCGGGACCCGGAAAGAAATGTGTAAACGCCAGAAATCAAAGAAAATAATAATAATAATAAATAAATGTTTCAAGCTATGGACTTATTGACCTGACCTCGTGAATGCAATGAAAGTATAGCAGATACGAGGTAACGTTGACGATTTATAATTCATTGTGTCTGCTCCTTTTTCTTTCTCCGTTGTCTATATTCTAGCTGCTCTTAAAGCGAACTCAATAGGTTCAGCGGAAGCAGATTAGTGAAGACGTGTCGCCAGCGATTATTGCACAAATGTTTTCGACGATGCAACTAGCGGCTGTTACGCCAGCAACAGAAGCAGTACGAATATACAATGATTTACTTTCGCTGTGACTGTTTAGAAACTGCAGGTATTGTCAGCTCTCTACCATCGCTGCTGCTTACGATGATGGCGATATTTTGACGCCAACGTGCGGCTGTCTATAAAGCCTCGGAATCTGTAATGCGGCAGTTGATTTACTCGCTGCGGCTGCTGCTGCTGCTGCTGGGTCTCCTTTTACTGGCCCACGGTAAATCGACAAGTGTTGCTATTTCTTATATCAGTGCAATTACTCCGGCTACATCTGCAGTCTTTAATCATTCCAACAGGTTTTATTAAACTCGGCTTCTTTTCTTGTTGGTCATTTGATTTCATTTTTTTTTTTTTTTGATCAATCGTTATTATTGACATTTTCAACCTTGATTTCTCATTAAAACTGTCGATATTGAGCGCCGAGTGATTAATCTAACTTAATTCTCCAAACAAACGGATCGTGTTAATTAGTTCAATTCTACACCCTGTTTATACTTTGATTAACTGCTACATACTATCTCGAAGAATTATTCAAAGTGAAAATTATTTTGAAATGAATATAATAAAAAAATAAATACCTCGGATCAAATCGGATGTGCCTTTTGTTAAAAAAAGTACCATTTTTTTAAGACACGTACTTTTATTCAAAACATGCAAACATAAAGTATTTTTTATTCAAATCGTATCACCGTTATTCAATATCTACCATTAAAATATAAATACCTTTATTCAAAATGTGAACATTCAAAATTGCACAAAATATAAACTACACTTATTAAATCGCTATATAGACGGTTACTCTGGGCACTTTGATTTGATGTAATATTTAAGAAGCTTGGTCCGCTAGATCAATTACGACTGATTAGTGAGTTCGTTGCTCCATATTTTCGGCCTTGTGCCACATCTAAGCTACGCTTAGTAAATCGCTATAGACAGTTATTCAAATTATATTATACAGTGTAACCCGGATATAAGAGACCCGGATATAAGCGAAACCCGGATATAAGAGAGATTTTCTCTGGTCCCAAATTAGAGCCTGTGTTAATGTATATAAAACAGACCAAACCCGGATATAAGAGAAACTCGGATATAAGAGACTTCTTCTCCGGTCCCGACAACTCTCTTATATCCGGGTTACACTGTATACAAAAGTTTTCTCAATACCAGTTTTGAGAGTCTCTCAAGGTAGAGGACCACTGTTAAAATGCTTATGCCGTATTAGATGTATGATCTAAACAAGAAGAGGTAGTAGATTATGATAGGACAGATGGATAATGATTCTTGACTTGAAGAAGTTAAGATTGTAGTGTCCAGGGAAGCATCCACTCAGGAGCAGGGTTCACCAAGTAGCAGGTCTTGGGAAAAAGCTTTCTGAATGAAACTTTCTCATTACATATGGAACACGGGGGAAATGAGGCTGATTCGACTTTGTGGGAATAGCATGGCGTCTCCTTGCAGTAATGACGCTGAACGGGTGTAACTAATGAATGGAGCTCGTCTTAAAATTTGCCATAGAAATAGCGGTAGACTTGCGAAGATGCGTCTATTGAAAAGAGAGTACAGAATATTCCTCCTCAAAAGATACGTATTTTTATTGAAAAGAAATTTCCCACCACCTAATAATATTAATCCACTAGCAGGAACCTAAATCAATTTAAATACAACTAAACGCCTTGGCGATAAATAAAACCCCAACACAGGTCCATCTCCTTCTCATCGACCCAGACTCCTTATCTAAACTGAGGCTTCCCCTTAGGTGGCCCCATACGTTTTCAGCAAGGCTGTCTAAACCAAATTCAAAAACACCATTTCTGGACAGTCTTGGGCTATGCATAGCTGGCACATAGCAGCGCTAGTTTGAAATAGACTATATTCACATGAGGTAATTTTGATTTTTTTGCTTTATAAAATATATGCTCTTTTATAATAAATAAACTGAACTCTCTGTGGATCAGTTTTAATATCTGATATTACTAGGATCCACCTGGATTATATACCAACGGATCGATTACCTGTAATATATATATATATATATATATATATATATATATATATATATATATATATATATATATATATAATCGACTCTCCCGTCGAGTTCGACGTATGAGGTCAGGCCGATAAGTTTCCAGGAAACCGACATCCCGACATCGGCACATGAGATTTGATTATAGTGGTGAAGGCCTCGTGCAGGACCATCCACACTTTTTTGGAGGGACGAATACAGAAACCTGGTGCACCTGAATGCCACAAGGTTCCCAAAAACGACCCTCCGCAGGTTTTGAATTCAGATATATATATATATATATATATATATATATATATATATATATATATATATATATATATATATATATATATATATATCATTTTCTTTGCATATATATAATTGTTATATACCGTACATATGAACACTAATGGATATGTTCTAATCATCATAAATAGGTTGGACAATATTGTAATATGCTAAGTAGTCCACCACTAGCAGTGGTTTACCTACATCACACCGCTGGCAAGCATTGTATTTTGTTGATGTTATAAAGATTACCATTTCATTTCCAACCTCCGTTTTGTTTATTCCTCATTGCGTTACCTTTTTCTAAATTACAACAATATATATAGCTTTATTCAAAATACAGAGATCTTTAGTGAAACCATTACTCAAATAATATGTACCTTTATTCAAAACATGGACATCTCCATTAAAACCTTTATCCAGTATATATGCTCATTTATTCAAGTTTCCTGGGATATCTTATTTAGTGTCGTGACAAAATAAGGGTCGCTGCACTGACTATTCGGACGCGTCACAAGAAATTCCGGGTTTTGGGAACCAATCGGAAGAATCTGGTATCTTCACAAACCGTTCCTAACATACGAGAATCATTCAAAAAGTTCTAAGCCTCACCCAGAAAGAAGAGCCATAGCTGAACATTTTTGTTGTGGCAACATACTACCACTTCTTATAAAACTAGAAAGATAATTCAGATATCTGTTTAATTTCTGTGCAAGTGAGGCCCATACAAAGGTGAGAGGTGTGTGACAAACCTAAAAATAGACAAAAGATAGACCCGAGAAGTCATAAAGTATCTACAAAAGAAATGGTATGACACTCATGGAAATCTATGAGGACATGGTACTGATACTTTCTAAGGACTCCCGATTCTATGCAACTGTGAAGTGGGCCGTGGAATTCACGTGGAGCAGGGATAGCACAGAAGATGACCCTAGGTCAGGATATCCAAAAATCTCAACCACGGATGAACACATTGATGCCATTCACTGTATGGTTTCGGATAACAGACGTCTTACTGTCCAGTAGATAACTATGTCCATGAGTTATGGTTTGGTCCATAGTGTTTTAACTGAGATCTTAGGGGTGAGCAAGCTGTCTGCAAGACGAGTCCCAAGAATGCTGACACTGTAAAGGGTTGACATTTCCCGGACACTTGTGACTCGCTTCCAGGCTGACCCTGAGAATTTCCACCGCTGATTAGTAACTTCGAACCTAAATCAAAGATTCAAAGCAAACAGTGGAAACTCTGCTTCTGCACTCTTGATGAAGTTCAAAAAGGCAGCGTCTGTTGGCAAATGATGACTTCTGTTTTTCTTTTTAATCTGAAGATGTAATCATGACAGACTTCTTGGAAAAAGGAAAAACTATTAATAGGCAGTTCTATGAACCAGAATTAAGACAACTGAAGGAAGTAATCGAATGTGATTATTTCTTCAAGCAATGGTGGGCGGAAGGTGTTTTTAGTAGTCTTCTGGTTGTTGTGTCAAAAATCAATGGCCTTGTCTCTTGTCGAAACGCAGACGGAGGCTGAGAGAAGGATAACGTGTCCGTTCACGCTGCTCATGCTGTAGTACTTGAAGCAGCCAACTGTGGCTTTGAATTTTTACTCCATCCCACTTGCTCACTAGACTTATCTACATTTGAATTCTTCTTGTGTCCTAAACTTAAATCCCACCTACGTTATCGCCATTTTTGGAAATGATGATGATGTCATATGTGCAGTGGGGGAGATCTCGGAGAACCAAGATGTCGTCTTCTTCCGTGATGAGATTGCAATGCTTAAGAATTGTTAGACCAAATGCATTGATGTCAAGGGAGACTATATTTAAAAATAGTAAAAAATTGTCTTTTGGTTGAGGCTTAGATCATTTTGAAAGATCCACGTATAACAGATGTTCATATAGAAGGTTCATATGTGGAGGAGTTCTTCGAGGACCAAGATGCCGCCTTCTTCCGTAATGAGATTGCAATGCTTAAGCATTTTTAGACCAAATGCATTGATGTCAAGGGAGACTATATTGAAAAATAGTAAAAAATTGTCTTTTGGTTGAGGCTTAGAACATTTTGAACGATCCACGTATAACAGATATTCATATAGAAGGTTCATATGTGGAGGAGTTCTTCGAGGACCAAAATGCCGCCTTCTTCCGTGATGAGTTTGCAATGCTTAAGCATTGTTAGACCAAGTGCATTGATGTCAAGGGCGACTATATTGAAAAATAGTAAAAAAAACTGTCTTTTGGGTGAGGCTTAGATCATTTTGAACAATCCACGTGTAACAGGTGTTGAAAACATTCGACAATGTTCCGAATTAACAAATTCACAAGAACAAATCTCTATAATTGACCCCAAAAGCTGAGCTCCATAAAAGAAATGTAACGTTGTTCGTGTGGTTGGATAGTCGGTGTATTTTCATTTATAGCTCGTAAAACTGGACAATCTTCTGGTAGATGAAGAAGTGACTTGAAGCAGGAGAAATATGGTTCTACAGAAGCGTGCCGAGAATACCATGGACCGATCATGTGAGCAATGAAGTTCTTGAGACAATGGCAACAAAAAGGACGCTTATGACAAACATCAGGAAGAGACGGTTGAAATTACTGGGGTATGTAATGAGAAAAGAGGGCTTGGAAAATTTGATACTCACAGGACAGATTGAAGGTAAGAGGACCAGAGAAAAGCAACGCACAACCTACTTGGCGGGTTTGAGCGAATGGATTGCGGACCAGATCCACTTGAGGTCTGGGTTGGCGTTCGAGGCACGGGGCATCCCTGACGGAACATCCGTTCATCGCGATGTAGCGATGGATTTATAACTTTCTCCTTAAGGGGAGCTCATCTTCTCTAGATATTTCACGTGATAAAATATTTGGTACCTGTATCGAAGAGAGTACAGTGACGGAATTCTTATTGGGATCTGACACAACCCTGGTCAGAACGACTGGAGACAGGACATGTAATATGGGATTCTCGCTAAAGTCGAAATCGAATTTAATGTCCATCAGGAACTCTTAATCTAAGAAGAGTTGATATGTGGTCACCCCAATAAGATACCGAAGTAAGCTTTGTACTCAGTGTAACCTCAGAAAATTAAAAGACCTATGTGACTCAAAGAATGACCAAGAAGATGAGCTCAGAGCCGCCAAGTGCAGAATCGGCTCTCAGATGACTGTACTAATATAAACAGGAATTGAACCCAGCTGAACTTCGGATACACAGTTAGATAAAATGAAGTTATATAAACGGCTGACCTATGAAGGAGTGGGTAGAATCCCTCGCATCCTCGGAAGAATGTTGAACATTCGGCGAAAGACCCGAGATCACATACCTTCGATTCGATCAACGTTAATTTGATGTATTTCAGAGGTGGATTGACAGTTATTTTTTTTATTTCGGGTCTTTTCCGATGAGAGAAATAAGTACAACTTAATCCGGGCTTACAGCCACATCACGTTAAAACACTGGTTCTCGTACGATCACCGAAGTTAAGTAACATGGAACTTGGTCAGTGCCTAGTTGGGTGATCACTTGGGATACCAACTTTGATGTGCGGGTGGTGTAATGGATAATGGCTCGGAATTGTTAATCGGAGAACCAAGTTCCAATTCCAGATAGGCTCATTGTATTTACTTATGCACAAATACTCTTGGGAAAGCTATAAATCAGGATCTTCTCCCCCAGCTATGGGTTAATTAATAGGATTTATATCAGTAAATCATTATCATTTCCAAAAAATTCTTACAATCTAAAGAAAATTTTCTGACTTTAAATAACCTGCAAAAGGTTGATAAACCATAAAAAAACAAATCAATCCAAGTGATTTAATGCTAAATTCTGTTGTTTTGATAAAGAACAAGAAAGTAGACATAGGTTTAGTTTGCGTGAGAGTCCAAAAGGTAGATATAGGTTGCTGTACAATATTTTGGTTTTCAGTCTTCAGCCTTTGTCAAGTGGGTTTGTTATATTCGTTACACGCAAATATCCTTGGGAAAGATATGAATCCATCTCTTCTCTCCCCAGCTATGGATTAATTAGTAAGACGTGAACAACTAAAATCATTATTATCGTTCTCAAAAAATAAAATAAAATACAATTACGTACAAAATATTTAGATTTTGACATTAAATAACGCATAAATATAGACATGTTACTAAACAAAAGCAACAACCTAATCCATT